TAATTTTGCTTGTGTGAAAAAGACAAAAAGCAGAGAGCACGAGTAGCGTGTGGTTAGCATTTAAGAAGTGTAGGAGGGAAACAGAACAGAAACAAAAACTGAAAAAGTGAACCTGAGCGTGAACTACTGAAGAGAGCCCGAGATTTTGAAAATATTTTGCCATTAATATTTTTACAAATAATGTATACTTTATCCTTGCTTTAAACTAATTAATAAATTAATTTTAAAATTACGTTTATGCAAAACGTTCATATGCACATCTGTACATACACATAAACGAAGAGAGAAACAATTGGTTTTGAACATCTCCATGATGTTCGGTCCAGTATCATTTGTAATTGCAAGTTCCATGCAAGTGTTTTGTGCAATCTTTTGAGTTGTTTATTTGTTGATTTGCCTGCCAGGAATTCCTCAATACCCCGGCGAAAATGAAAGTTGGATGAAATGAGTATCAGAAAATTAGACAAATATTATATTTATTAACCACTTGCATATCCTCACATACATGCATAAATTATGCATAAATGAATATTGTTTGTAGTGTAGTGTTTGTTGTTGAGTAGAATCTGTTGAAAACAATTTTAATGAAAATATATACAATATCGTACACAAGACACTTCAGACTTGTCGATCTTCACTGTTTGCCACCATTGCATTGTACAACATTCTATATGTATTTATGTATCTCTAGTACAAGCGCATTGAATAATCAAGAATTCCAATGCAATTCATATAAACATTTCAAGTAAAAAGCACAAAGTTGTAAACAAAATACCCATTACTAAATGTCTAATTTATTTTCCTTCTATTCTGGCGAGCTCTCAAAAGCGACACGCTGTAATTGTTGTGAGAAGCAGTGGAGGAATACATATACATACATATGTATGTATGTATAGAACGGCTGGTTTGTATAAGTAGCACGAGGGGAACGAACGTAAAACTAAAGCAATACCTTGTATATATTTAAATGGAAAGTTTTCCACCAATACCATAAAATGAGTCGCATGGGCTGACACTGAAAGTTCTGAAGATCGAGTGCCTGCGGTTCGATATGAAATTATAAATACATATGTATGTACATACGAGAAAACAATGCATTTAGTACATGCAGTATATTGGCGATGCATACACACAGCTGATAATGTGGACTTCGAGTGCATTTTGCTGATGACAGGGCACCTTAACGCATGACAATCAAATATTGATTGACCCTAGAGGGGTGGCCTTAATCGTTTCTAAAGGGTGCTTATTCACCCCGACTCTGCCTCCGCCCCACGTTACCATGTGGATTTCATGCCTTGCCTTGGACTGCCGCCACTTGTGGCCCTTGCATCACCTTTACACCAACCGTTCTGTGTGTTTTCGTACTCGTTGTTCACATTCACATATTGCAGTGCTCGTTTCGCCTTGTTTGTCGGGGCTGGCTCTGATGCCCTTGGTAAAACTCTGCCCGCGGATTACGGGACATGTAACTGTAATGGGACCGGGCCGCAAGCTCGCAAAAGATAAGGCGGTTTGTTCATCATAATACTGAATACACACACACACACCATATTATCAGTTTGCCAGAGCCAGAGAAAGCACTGCAACTGAGTTGAGTGTGCTAGGTTCAGAGATTCCAATACATGAAAACCATATTGCCTAGCAGGGCAGATAACCCGTGCAATTTGGGGTCTATATACTCTATGAGGCCGGAAACATTCCTTTGGCCAAGCACTTAACCTCACAGACCCGTTTGCTGTTGCAGCGTTATGTGTGTGTGTATGTGTGTGTAGATATAAGACTGTAGACTCCCATAAACAATCATAATCAAGACTAAGGCTTGTTATGAACGCAGAACTTGAGAGTTCCGCACCGAAATCCATAGCAAGATCGTTAATGAAGTTCATCTAAATTCATGGAACGAGTTTCGAGATGTCAACATCTTACAATGCAGTGGATATCTGTGGATATCCAGTTATGCTCAGCTGCCTAACCAATTCCTTCTCTATGCCCATTTGCATAATATCAAATGATAAGCTGAAAAGTGTTTTGGTGCTGAACAAAATAAAGGAACAGAAATGTATTTTCAATGTCCACAATCTTATCGTCGGCTTTACTGTGATAAGCACTAAAGAAATACATTGGTACATCTTTATAAATATAAATTTTCAAAAGTACATTGCATTTCTACATTGCAAATGTTTTAGTCTGCAATACATATTTCATTTTTAGGCCTACTGATGAACGAGATTATTTGAGCAAAAGTCATTGGCTGTGGGCGGTTTATTAAGCAATGAAATATAATTTGAACATTCAGTTCATTTGTACGGCGTTTAAAGTCCGAAACAGCTGATAAGATGCTCCTTCCGCCTGCACAAGTCTGACCAGCACTTGTTATTATCTGTTTTGGCGTGGCATTTAACTCGGTCAATAGAATGATGGCACTGGTTATCAGTGGTCGCGTTATCAAATGGTTATAAATCATGGTGGAAATAAAAACATTGCCGCGTTGGCAAGGGAATTACTTCTGAAATTTAATTGAGGTAATCGATGTCCCTGTTCTGTATGCAGAGAAGACAACTGTTCTTTTATACACATACGCACATTTTTACCTATATGTACATATGTACGTGTTCGAACAAATAAATATAAATTTAAAAAATTTTGGCGCACGGCCATGGTGCGTGATGTGTTACTGATCGACCTGCTCCTGAACAGCGGAGGCCTGAAAAATGAGAACTTTAACCCCCATTAATTTTCAGTGTGTACTATATGTATGCATATTTGATCGACTCTCTAACGCCAGCTTCGAATGGCAAAAAGCGAAGCCAAAACTGGGTCAAGAAACTTATATAGGCCCCTTTGGGTAGAGCAGGATGATGCGGAATAAAATACGAACTACTGATAACACCAGATCTACAGCTACAATGTGTAGCGTCGGCTACGTCACAGACAGAGTAATAAAAACAGTAAAAGCAGTAAAAACAATAAAATAAAGGAAAAATCAAAAGCAAAACACCCAAAACCTGTTTATGGAGGTGCAGGTGTTGCGATCGTTGCTGGGGGCTGCGTTGGGTTTATTGTTTCAATTGGTTTTGTACCAACTGCTCGTTGAGATTACCGTTTATAGGACTACTAATAGCCCCTCATAATTGATTACTCGATGAAAAATATATGGCAGTAGCACAGTGTCACAGTTTGATTATGGAATCGCAGTGTCACTTGTCACTCGAGTGGAATGGCATGTCCTGTGACTGATGTGCAAAAATAAATTTTTCACGTATCGTGTTTATACAACTCCTGGGAAGAGTGTCATTTTTTTAGGAATGGTTTGTTTCTCTAAGACGAGTCTTCGTCCTTATCTGCGGTGCGTGTCGATATTGCGTGGTCTTCCGCTAAAGCAGACGGCCGCACGATTTGTATATAACTTTTTATCTGGCCTATTTATCTAATTTCACACTGCTCACGCCATTCGTAATATTTTGGTCGTGATGTGTGGGGCTATATTTAATCTGTAGCGCTCTATAGAACCTCACGTCATATAGTCTTCTGGAATGGCTGGCGAATCGAAAATTTTTAGGCTCTGCTCCCTGTCCCTGTCCGTTTCCTATTTTGTTTTCTTTTTTCCCCGGCACAATTCAGTACCCCTCTTGTCCTACGAAAAATTTAAAAATCTGAGAAAAGCGTTCTTCCCTGATTTATTTATTGCATTCGTGCTCGTCGTTACTTTCTCTGTCTGCGCAGCACACGCGAGTGGAAATCTTTGCGTCATCAGCACCACGCACGCGTCCGCCAAGTGATCTTGTTCTTCAGCTGATTGGTTTGGCGCATTGAACGAAACAAAGTTCACCGAGGCAATCACCAAAATCAGAAGCGATGACGGGCACAGACACAGACACGGGCATTGCGCTTTAATTTAAGTTCGAATTATGTGTTTTGATTTGGATGTCCTATTATGGATTATTTTTTGGATTTTTGGATAATTCATCTATACTGTGCTTAAATACACTTTCTTTTGCGAAGAGCTTGATGTTGTTTCTTTCCAGCTGATAGGGCACTTGCGATAAGTGGACAATCTGTTTACTGGAGAGTTGTTTATGCAGCTTGCAGAATTCTTACATGATACCAAAGTTGACTGAACTGAACCATCACAAGCATCGCATCACAGTCATCGGCATTTCTTTGTTTCTTAGTCAGATAGATATAATTAACCTCATTTTAAACCTATTTACGTGCATATTAATAATTTTGGGGATACTTTGTTTCTTTGTTTCTGCGTACAGTTCATTATTACACATTCACTCATATATGTAAGTCCATGAGTTCATTCACTTATCAGTCCAGCTCCTTAATTTAGCCCTCCCGCACAGAAATTGTAGCAACTGCATCCCATTCCATTCCCTGTTGCTCCAGTTGCTCATTAGGCATCCCAAAATTATTTCGAAGACCTATAAGAGCACTCGCAGTAGTTTTCGCTCCATATTGGTTTGGTCGCTACGATTTCTGATAATTAGCTTGGGGGCACAATAGGACTCGTATGTAAAAGCGAATCAACCTTTTTAAAAGCTGTTGCTACAAAGCAGCAAGAATCCAAAGAAAAACTTTAAATCAAACCACCTTTCAAAATAGGCGAAATTTCAGACCTTTATTTCATTTTACTGCCGTTTTAAAAGCTTTTCCATGTGAACTTTTATTGAACAAATAATTTTACCCGATAAATGAAGATATTTTCTTTAGGATTAGGTAAATTTTTAAGGAAGTAGGCGACTGCGTTATTTTGAAATTTTTATTTTGTATTGATCATTTTTATATTTTGTTAAACAACTATTGTTCATCACTTATTATTATAAAATTGAATCGGTTTGTTAATTTGGGGAAGCATATTTTTGGGGATGTAGCAGTATACAGAATGTACGTCCAAGTAATTTGTCACACAAAATATTTCGGATCGCGACCAGTCGGATCCAGTCGGCATGGCCTTTTGTGATGGACATCAATCTCCTTGATTAACTGGAGGGATGCATTTTCACAAGTTCCACAAGAGGTAATCGAGAGCAGGACAGGTGTTTTTGTTGAATGCTGATTTATTTTGCTGAGACAAGACGTTCTTCCTGCCGACTCATTCGTTGGCACCACAGGACTTTTTTATAACCTTGCCCGCCATAAAATAAGTAGACAACGGCCTTATCCGGCCGCGGGGCAGCTCCTCATATAGTCCTCCCTTTACCGTGAAGGAGTGCTTCGGCTGATAGAGCAAGCCCAGGAGCGGGTTCTTTGGATTGATACGCATGTTGTTCATGGCGTAGGTTCCCTTGGTGAGCGGACAGCTGAGTGAGTAGTTACTTTGTTTCAGCACGTTGTCCTTGACGGGCTTGAACAGCGGAACCGAGTTGAAAACATTTTGCAAGTCGCACAATCTGGTGGAGGCATTGTATATGGTGCGGGGCTTCTCCTTGCTGGATCGCTGAACGATTAGGATTCGGGACACAGGCGAGGCGATCTCCTCGTTGATTGTGGTAAGGGAGCCAATCCCAGTTTGGTTAGAAAATGTCATGTTCACTACAAACCGGGGACGGTCGTCTGTCCAGTTTGCGTAGGTTAGAATCACGTAGTAACAGTTCTAGTGAGAGCGTTCTGATATGGTTAGACTTCTGCTGGTGAGGACACACGAATACGAACCTCCTTGCTCTCGATTTCTAGGTGGCCAGTCAACATCATCATTATCCAAGCGATGATGCACACAAGAGTGCTCCAAGCAAATCGCATGTTCTCTGAGCTTCCAACGATAAAACATAATGAGCCCAATGAGTACTCGACTACTGACAAACATGAGTTCTATCGAGTGCAAAATGTGATAATTAGCTACCCCATCAAATTCACATTATAATCAGTCATTTAGTCAATTTAGTCAATAATAACTACGAGGGAGCATCATTGATTAGTCTAGTACAATATATCGAGCTGCTGTGCTATGCTTAGAATTTGGTTCAGTCTGTGACATATGCGCTCCGAGCCCGTGTTCTTCAGAAGTTCGGCCAGCTGATGGTGTTCTTTTTGCTCGGTGGTCACATTCACATTCTCGGCTAGGATGAATCGCGTCATGAATATGGCATGGGGCACCTGGATGTAGGCAACACGTTTCACCTCCGCCCGAAATCTGTGGAGCAGCGGTACACAATAAACACAATCTCTTACGGGTTCATTCCCTTATCTTACGCTTCGTAGCTGTATCCTGATACCTCTGCCCCCACTCGATCCAGACAGCTTATAAATTCCTTGTAGTAGACCTCCAACATGTGTTCGAAGTGTAGCTCCAAGATAGGCATATCAACGCTTGATAACAGAAACGAGATTATGTCATGCGCAACGGAATCGTATTGTGCTGTTTGAAAGTCGATTATTTTCATGTGAGTGGGCGTGCCAGAGGGGCCTGAAAAAAGAACTACGTATATTAGATGCTTGTGTACTTTTAAAAAGAGGGTTTCCTGCCTGACTGACCGTATTGGAACATCAGATTGTTAATCCAGAAGTCCGAGTGGATTATACTAGTGAATTGTCCATCCGGCATGTTTGAGGGAGCTGCAAGGAAGTCGAAGAACTCGTCTGACAATTTCTTAACGCGGGATATCAACTCCTCGTTATTGTTGGTCGCTTTTCGTATGTCTTCTAGTGTCTTCGCTTTCATTATGGCCTTCGACTCTGGCGCCGCCGCATGCCAATCGAATTTTTCGAAGAAAGGTTTAATCTGCTCCTGGAAAAAATGTGGCTTCAGTAGCCGCAATGCAAGAGGAAGCGCATGAAACTGGGCCATGTATGTAAGCGCCATCAATGTGTGAGATAGATCGTAGGGCTGCAGCCTCTGGCCTGGGACGTAGTGGCTGCTTCGCAAATTTTCCAGCACCAATATGGCATGCTTGTCCACTAGCTGGCAGCTCGGATCAAGCGATGTCCGTGAGCCGTAGTATCGCGCGAATCCGTCAAAGTTGGCAGCCTGCGGGATTCCCGCCTCCTCCTGTAGTGTGGCTAAGGCAGGCGCCAGTACTTTATATAATGCATTTTCAGTGAGACAAGTCCTTTCCGGCTGAATGAATTGCCAGAATTTTGGATCTGTAGGTGGGACTTTGGCCACCAGATTCTCTTCATAAAGCTCTCCATCTGGGCGAAGCACCTGAGCGCGTATTGATAGCAGAACGCTCCCGTAATTGTCGCCTGGTTGCGTCAGACTGTTGGTTTGGTAGCTGCGAAGGCTTCCTCCGGAAAGGTGGGGCTCAATCACGTGGCCAAGATCGCAAATATCTGGTAAACTGTCCATGCTGCTTCACTACTTAATTGGTACTCTGGTTATGTACGACAGCAAGATCGGAGCAAGCTTCTATCTCAAGGGGTCTTTGCCTTAACTGATTAGCTTTCTGATAACAGAAAGGTGTGAGAAAGGTGTCGTCGCCTCGTGATTTAGCAAAATGTTTATTTGGTATTGTTATGACTTCGATATGCATAATTATATCTGTAGTGACTTAGTAGAATAAATTAAACTTTTTCCCCAACCGCAAGATCTCGCCAAACTTAGCTACAATGTCCTTAGCTCCAGTGTTCTTAGTCAACACCGTCAGGTCCACGTCTTTGTAGTCTGTTGGCAGCTTGCTGCTGTCAGCCAAAATAACTTTCATCATAAAAATGGCATGGGGAAGCTGTAAGTGTGCTTGTTTATGAACTTCATCGAGGAATCTGAGAATGGAAATGCGAATGCAAATTTGAGTTTTTATGTTAAGTAAAATAAACCATATCACGATGTTTTGTATCTACAGAGTAAGTAGTTTATCTGGACTTGTCTGTTGGGAAAATACTTACGTCTCGTATCTATAGCTGTTAGTATCCACACCGACTGCACGCAAAGATTTAATAAAAGCATTGTAATAAATTTTTAGCAGATTGTAGAAATTCTCATCCAAAACCTTTGTTTCCACACTGGAGAATAGTAAAAATATTATATCGTGGACCAAAGACCCATATTGTGCAATTTGGAAGTCGACAATTTTTAGCTTGACCGGGACGCCGTCATCGTCTGGAAGGGATTGGGCTATAAAATTAATCCTTTCAAAAAAATTTTCGCACCTTACTATATTTCACCATTAAATTGTTGATCCACAAATCTCCGTGCACGAGCGTAGTGAAAGGACCATCCTCCACGTCTTTGCCAGCTTGAAACGCATCGAATTTGTCTAGCAACTCTTTGACACGTTTGACATCACTTTCATCACCATTGGTCGCAGATTTGATGTCAGTTAGGATATCATTGTTCATCAAATCTTTCTCTTCGGCTGATATATTAAGGTTCATGTCGAATTTTTTAAAGTAGGGCCGCACATACTCTTCATATATCTGTGGGGTTTTTAGCCGCAAGGCAATTGGAAGGGCGTGATACTGGGCCAAGTAATGGAGAATTAGCACAGTGTGCGCCAGATCATAGGGCTTGTGACGGTTCCCAGGCTTATAGTCGCGAATTGTTAAATTTTCCTGAACAAGTACGGCGTCCCGGTCCACCTTGGTGGCTCTGTCGTTCAGAGAGATGCGGGATCCATAGTAGCGGGGAAAGCCATCGAAGAGTTCGGCGGGCAAGACACCAGCTTTAAGCTGGAGATTTTTCAGCTCAGGTGCTAAATACTTATAGACAGCATTTTCTGTGATGCAGGTTCTTTCGGGCTGAAAGATTTGCCAGTAAATTTCGTTGGTGACAGGTGGAAGCTTGGCAATCAGCGGCAACTCCCGTACTACAATATCAGTATCCTTGATTTGTGCCTGAATAGCCAACATCACGCTGCCGTAGTTATCCCCAGGCTTGGTCAAGTAACAGCTAGAATATGACTCCAACGTGGTTCCCTCTGGCAAATAAGGCTGGATCACTTTGTGTAGATCCGTAATTTTCGGAACTTCTCCCATGTCGGATCGGCTTGTGCTGCTCCGTTCTCAGTCAATGACGATTGAAAAATGGGAATGACTGAGCGAAGTCAACGTGCTTTTTACTCTCGGTTCTTTATGTGTAGTTCCTATAGCATTATTTAGCTTAAATGCATGTGTGGTAGTCAAATTATTTGTTAACTAAACGAGCGGCGGTCGGCTCTGGGCAAAAAATTGGCTCAAGTGGGGCAGATAACATTTATAGAATGATACCTGGTTCTCGCGGGGTATACGTGACAGCCAGAAGGAAATGTTTTCCACCGCTCTAACTATCAAGAACCTTTTTGCACCGGCTTATTTCGAGAAGAACATTCATAATTTCGTCTCATATGTACGGGGTATTTCGTAGGTGTCAACATTTTAAATGGAAAAATCTGAAATGTTTTTTTTTTATTTCTGGTGCTCTGTTTGTTTCGGCGTGCAGGTCACCCTTCAGTCGCCCTGACTAAATAGAACGCTTCATTCATATCACTCGAGGTGCTGATGGGAGATGAATTGTGTAAAGCTAGTACTACAAGAGGCTGCTCAATCAATAGCGGCAACGATGGCATCAGCAACAATCAGTAACATCGACATGTGGATGCCTAATTAAAATGTCTTTGTTATCACAGATGCTTATGCATTGTGTTCAATATCTATGTATCATTCATTCCATGCATTCAATATAAGAGGACATTGAATTTATATCGATATATAATGGCTTTTGTTGCAATTTTTTGTATATTTCAAGGGATGAAACTGTTTTTAGGGACTCTTGAACAATTGTGATGTTTTTTTTTTTGATCTGGCAGCGCGAAAACTTCATCTTAAACCAAAAACATCAGAAAAATAATGTAGGGAGGACAAAAAGAAAAAAAATCGAACAGAATTTATTCTTAACAAATGCGTATGATTGAGTGTGTAAATGTGTAATGTGTAAATTTTGAGACCTGTATGATAATAATTATAATTTTTCAAAATAAAATGCCGATAACTTTCACTTATCGCACAAAAACACTTGTATTTTTTCTGTGTTTAACCCTGTGTATCGATAGTTGATTCAAATGTCACGGGTTATAATCTTATGAGGTGAAACAACAGAAAAATAAAATAAATTTCATCCAAAAAAGTGTTTTGGTGATTCTCAATTTTCGTATCTTATTCAAATTTTGGCCAGTTCAAGAAAAGTAGCACATATCAATTGGCATTTAAATTGTAATTTAAATTCATCGCATTGAAGTATAGCGCGCATATCGATATATATGTACATCACTAATAAATACAACAATACACAATACAAAATCGTGAAAAACAAAAATTAGAAAAAAACAATGGACCTGCAAGTAATAATGCAACAAATGATGCAAGATTTAAACGGATATGGCTATAGATATGCAATGCAAGCGGGTCAGCAGCCCTACGACCAATATCCGCAAAATAGTGTATTCGATCAGGCCCCGGGTCCAGAAGAACAGGACGACGAAGATGACGAGGACGATGATGAACAACGCACCTTGTTCTGTGGAAATCTGGACCAACGCGTTACAGAGGAAATCCTGTACGAAGTTTTCGTGCAAGCAGGTCCTATTGAGGGTGTACGCATTCCCTCGGACAACACTGGGCGGCAGCGCAACTTTGGGTTTGTGATATATCAGCGAATATCTGCGGTTCCGTTTGCATTGGAGCTGTACCAGGGCTTGGAATTGTTTCAAAAAAAGGTTACCATCAAACAGCAAGGGGCAGACAAGGTCAAGCCGCCATCATTTGGACAAAATCGTTTACACAACCCGTTCATTCACGAGTTGCCCGGTCATTTACCTAATGACTCTGGAGCACCACGCCACGGTCGTCACAGCTTACACGGTGCCAGACCATATGATCGAAGTTCTGGCGCGAACAACAAGTACAATAATGGGGACCTGCGTCGCCGCTCCGACAGCTCAGTTATGGATCGCAATCGGCCGAGGGCACATCCGTATCCTCAGCACCACCATCAGCATGATAGACGTTCGGATCAACGCAACAATAACAAGCGAAGATTACTTTGAGCCTATGCCTCCAATAAAATCAGAATCAGTTAAATGTAACAATTTTTTTTATTAGTCTTTAAGTATCGCTTACAAACATCTAGATATAAACTTTTGTATGTATCGTAAAGCAGAGGTCTAAATCATAACATCACACTAACGCCCTTCATCAATGAATTTGCATTCCATTAAACTGTTCAGATGACAGATGCTTACTATTGCGTATGCATCAGCTAACGTGTTATACTTCTTAGCGTCTTCTCCACATTCCTATACGTGCGCGATGGTATAACTTCCAGCAAGAGTCGTTGGTAACTGCTGTGCTCGGACAGGGCGCGGAACAAGGACTTGGCATAGCTGCGAGTTTCCAAGCTTCCTTCAAGCAGAAGATTGGCGCCGACCACAAAGAACTTATCGCGGCTCTCGCGGCCCATAGCATATATGCGATCACTGCCTAGTCGCTCGACCAGTCGGAATAGTAGCTTGGACGTTGAAGTACGAACCAAAGCGTTCTGATGCTGTGCACCCTTGGTTGCAAGAATATTTAATACCTTTACTGGCTGAGCGTGATCCACCATCGACTCCAGAGCGTGAGTTGCGTCCGCACGTATGAAGCGATTTGTGTCTGCGGTTCGATGCAATAGTGCACAGACCAGATCATCACATTCCTGTTCCAGATACTTGGACTTTAAGCTGAACAATTCAGCGGCGGCCTGACAGGATGCGCGTGCCACCTGAGAGCGTAAATTCCGGACAGAGCGGGTGAGTTGTATGCAGGTCATGTGCATGTGGCTGTCCAGAAAGTCGGCATGGCAGCGAATCAGACGAACCGTGCTCTTTAAGCCGACTATGTTCATCTCCCAGTTGCTGGAGTCTAGCTGGTCAAAGGTCTTGTGTAGGGCCTCACGAGGCTTCTCGAAGCGCGACATGTTTTGGGGGAATAGCTCCGCCTGTGAAATCTTGATGGCCTGCTTCACAGGAGAGACGCGCCGTTGCCCGCGCAAAAAATATGACGTCTTTGACTTTTGCTTAAGCTGCGTGTGTTGAGTCTTCCCTCTGACAGTGATGTTCCCCATTTGCGAGCCTGATTGCGAAGTATTGTCAGTAGTACTTGTACTGGTATTATCCAAAGAGCCTTGCTTCGAGGCAGGGCGTACTCCATAGAGTGACTCTAGGGAAATGCTGCGAGGCTGCATAACCAAGTTATCATGTAAAGGTCTCGATTTTGAGGTAAAGGAACCGCCTGTACGATTCGCTGATGTTGTCATTTCGTTTGCTGCCAACGGTTCCTCTAGTTGCTTTAAAGGCGAAGACTCAGTGGGTGTCGCCTCCAGTTCATGCTGCACTTCTTCGACCACCACGAAACTGTTGCTGCCCTCAATGTCTTCTTCAATGGGCAGCGACTTTGTTGATTGTGCCCTTGATAGTTGCGGTGACACGTCTTCCAGCTGAGTTTTGATACTTTCTGTTTTACTGTGGAGACTGTTGACACTCTCGTTACGTTTCAGTGTGTCTTCAGGGGGCAGGTGTTCCGTTTCCTCTTCTATGACTGTAAATATATTGAAGATGAGCATTAAAATTGTACGTCTATTAACAAGTTGTTAAAGTGAAAACATTGTTATATATCGTATCATGTGTCGGTAATGTTAGTGACATTGTGAGGATAAAAAACCCCAAAATTCTAATTTGTTTAAAAGAAAACGTAATGAAAAAAATAAGTGTGTGAAACAAGAGTGCTGTTTTAATGGGTAGTCCTACTTGATACAATGTCATCCACTACGAGCTCTCCAAAGGACTCGACCGCGTTGCGCTCCAGACTCAAGACCTCCATTTTTTTATCAACGCTGTCGCCACTCCGAGCCGGACTTTTTGGTCGTCTGTCCATCTCACAGTGGCTGTTACTTGATTTGGCCGAGGCTGTTGACTTCTGTGAGTAGCTTGTGGACTTCACAGAGAGCGGGGACCCGTCCGTAGTTCCTTTGTCCGTCTGCGATCCTAAGGTCGATGACCGAACTGTTTCCGGATCTGCTCCAATGCGAACGCTTGCATTGGGAGAGGTAAGAATAGAGCTTAAAATGGGAAATAGGTTACTGAATAACTTACAACTCTTCAGACGGGAGCACAGCATACACATTGTCTTTTTCACCATCTACCGGTGTCTGAATCACTTCCCAGGTCGACCTATCATCGACATGTTCACTATCTGTATCAATTTGCATCGATTTTCTGAACTCTTGACATTTGCTATCCATTGGCGCCGTGTTGGTGCAGCAGGTGCCGGAAAGCTGATTGTTGCGATTGTAAGATATAGCCTCGCACAGTGTTGAATGCGCGTTAATTGCCTTTTGGCAAATATACGCCCAGCCAGAGCGGAGAAGAGTGCGTGTCCGACGTAGTAGATTGGACGCCTGTCCGCCACAGGAAAATGCATTCTGCATTTTAAGAAATACTATACTACACTACTACACTCAACTATTCACTTGAAAAACCCGTATTCGGTGTAAAACAAATTAAATACCAGCGCGAAGAAAATTAACGCAAAGACAGTGAACTACTTCAAGCAACACCACTGTGCAGACTGTTTGCAATGCTCGTCAAAAGTAGTTTTGACCATTTGGACAATGGGCTGCCCCCACAACTATTCACGTACTTCTGTATTTCCATACTTGGAATCCACAACAAAGCCAGAGTTGCAAATGGAAAACAGGACATTGCGTTTTCCAAGAATTCACACGAATACACACACACTACACGTCCACTTAACTTAAGGGGCCCCCCATCCCCACACAATAGCCAGAAGGAAAAGCCACGAAAAAGGTCGCAGTATGGTCTAGCGACGAACTTCCAGACGAACTAGCCATGTTTCTGACCAGGCGGTCGCCGTATCCACAATAATACACTCCATTCTGGTTTGCAGACGAGGGCCAACTTAGTCATATTCGGGTCTCTTCGTTTCGCTATGGGCTAGCCGTTGGCTGCCTCTACCCGAAGTCTGTCATGTGAGGGATGTAGGTACATACGTAGGATGTAGGTAAGTATGTATCTGAAGAGGTGACATTTTCACCAATATTCCGAAATAGATCGGAAATATGCTTATGTACATATACTATACACATGAATACATCTTGAGGAAGTTTTAGACAAAGTTTCTAGACGTAAGTCCATGAATTTTACTACTCCTTGCTCTGGAATTTTTCTTTCGAAGTCATAGCCCAACAAAGGAAAATTGATTTTCTTGGGAAGGCAGAAGATGCGTCCAGTGGAAGCCGAATCGCCAGTGGTCAATTGAAGGTTTGTCGCAGGCGACGTTGTTCGATTCTCCACATTCCCTTGCCATAGCCCTAAATATCACCAACGCGAGCCCCACTGCGCATTTAAATTATTTAGGTTAAATAACGTGACACCTTTAAGACTAAGGGTCTTTGCTTTGACTCAGATGCGTGCACCGAGAGCCGGGTGAGGCGCGACCGCTAAATTCGCCTATAAAAACTGCGGCTAATGGTTAACCCGCATGGGGCTCGAGACTATATCAGAGTTGGGCATTCAAATATGTAGGTTAACATTCGTCAACGAACATGGGTATGGGTAGATTGTGGGGGTTGTGGTTTTGGCTTTGTACAGCTGACCAGAAGTGTGTGGGGTTTGATGCCGGTCCGGTGAATTGAGATATGGAGGCAACACTTACTCTGGTTTTGCGGCGCCGGCGCACTCTCTTCCCAACGTATGTGGTGATTGTAGGTTATCAATGGAAAAGCTGCGCTGCTGTTTCCTGTGTATTTCGTTAGTTTTGAGCATTTCTCCATCTATAGAGTATATGATATAAATATGAAAAAAGTTAAAAGAGTGCTTTGATAGGTTTCCCTACCTTGTGCTTGGCCGGTGTTTCGTGTCCTACTGCTTTGCTGCGAAAGCGTGAAGGAGTGCTGGTGCTGCAGCTTCTTGCGCAGCATCTGGCTCTGGTGCGATTTAGTAGGATTCGTATAGCTGACTTTTGGGTATGCTTGACCATCCAATGTGTAGGACGTGGTAGACCTCTGAATGCTGCGCATAAAATTGTTCACAAAATCCGTATGTTGGTTCATGGCGGGAAATCTTTAAGGAATGTGCATTCAATCTTGAAAGTACTCTCTTTGCAAGCTATTGATACACTACCTTGAGCTGGGTCCTGAAAGATGACTCCCAGTGCGGGATGTTAGCTGTATAAAGCTGCCAGTGCTCCCACTGCTGCAAGTGGTTGCCGTGCTGTCAGTGCTTCGGCCATCCATCGAAGTATCTGAGCACGTTTTGCCCACCATGCGACGGTCCATAAGATTTCCTTCATTGGGAGAGACGACAAGACATTACTTGAAAGATCTATACATACAATATCCAAATCTTACCATGCATTGTCCTAGCTCCGAAACTTAATCTCTGAGAAAAGTCCTACGAGCAAAAGTACAATATAATTTTTATTATTTTGAGATTTTTTAATCGGAAAAACTAACACTTGAACTCACATTGGGGCTAGCTATGTCCAGGGTTTCTGGAGGAGAGTGGAAGGAATGTCGATGCAGGCTCTCATTGACGTGAGTAAAGCTGAAAGTAAAAGCCTCTACCAGTATAATGTACGGGGTGTTATTAAGTTTTCCACTGCTAACCTGTGGAGTGTCTCTGTCCTGTCTTTTGCTTCTGTGCTTTCCTGGACGACCCTCTGTCTGCCCGCAGCACGCATGCGTCGCCTTTTGATGGCATTTGGTGAGGCTGAGCCGTCGCCTTGGTTTATCCAGTCAATATCTGCACCGCGCCTATTGCCGGGCTTTTCAGTTTGGTTGAAAATAAACAAGACGGAACTGTCCGGCGTTATAATGGGCAACTGCAGGCGGGACAGACGCATTCTCGTAGCATCGAGCATGAGAGGACCGAGCTCCACGCCTGATGCTATTTCGGATACAATCGCCAGAACCTGCTTGACAGATGATATGTCAGCCAAGACGGCAAGTACCTCCAGTGCCGCCTGGCGCACGCGTCGCTTGCGATTTAACGAGGAGTATATTGTCTGCGCCGTCAGCAGGTTGATGTCGAAGCATGTGCCAGGAAAGGTCATCAAAGCGAAAATAGACATTTGGAGGGCATGATCGCGGAACTGTGGTCGGATCGATGAAAAAACGCGCATCGTTAGTTTCGGGGAAACGTAGAACGTGTTATGAACTTACCTTTGAGCTCTTGGCATGCATGAACTCCGGTGCAGTTAGTTTGGCAACAATGGTGCCCGCTGGCAGGCGCTGCATTAGTGCCTTGCAGACTCGATTCGCCCCAGCTGTGCCTTGGCGACACAGCCCTGTTAGAATCTGAAGGGTGCGCTCCTCCAAGTTGTCCAGCGGAAGGCGTGTGATCAGGTTTACCAGCAATTCACGTTTGAGTTCAGCTATGTCAAAGTGTCGCTCCGAGGAGAGTAATGTTCGCAGCAAGCTGTCCAAGTACGGCTGCACCTTAGCTAAATTACCCGAAGAGCTTAGGGCGAGCTCTAGATGGGAAAATCCCTGCAAGCGATGTCGCCAGTCCTGTTCAAAAAGAAAGAACGATGTTTATAGGCACGCTGTTCATTTGTATGGGGCAAGTGTTTTATTGCCTATTTGCTCAATTTTCGCAAATTAGATATATTCATGCAATACAAATATTTCCCGAAAGTGTCCATTGGCCATTAGAGAGTGCAAATGCGAGCCAACTTTAGATAGTTGACTTCTAAACCCGTGCCATTTATGGTGTCCTCGTCCGCCTAGGCGACTTTTCGTACCTGTTTGTATTTAGTACGCGCTATAATTTCGGTTAATGTTTTTTATATTTTTGTGCTTGAACTGACCCACTTCCTGGCACGCTCGGTTTCGGCCCGCTCCCGCTTTCTCTAGAGTCTTCACCCGAAAGCATTTCGTAATGTTGGTCTTACTATTTTATCGTCGCCTATGCAAGCTGGGTGTGAGTGATTGTTCCTGTTCTTGTTTTTGTTCCGGCAAGCTGCTATGAATATCGCGTGCACTTAAATGATTGACCGGCCAGTTACGCTACTGCCGGAGGACTCTTTGGCACTATGCAGTTACAGCTCTAAGCCAATCCAATACCCATTCCGCATAGCATGAACTGTTACCGGAATCCCCCAGCTTTTTTGCAGCACTCAAAAAGTTCAGATTGATAAGGGGGACATCACAGCCAGAAAGTATGTATGTATGTGCAATGTACATAGTGTTTCCAACTTTAAACTGCTGACGCATATTGACGTCTCCATTTTTACAATACTTTAAGTGGTTTTTCCTATGAGAATCGTTTTATGTTGTGAAGAATTGACGTGAGGATACAAAGTTGCAAGTAATAATTTAAAAGTTCTAGTTTTTGGATATAGTCTTACTCAAAAACTTCGTATATGCATATAAAGTCCGTACCACTCCACGCTCCCCAAAGTGCTTACGAAATTCTTCAAACAAATAATTTTGCTTTGAAATGTATATGTCAAAAATTAATAGGTCATTGATACAGCCACGGTCCGCATTGTTTTCCATCGTCATCGATATAGGTGGGCAGGGGCAGAAACAGCGCTTATCGCTGAAATTTTCATTAGTAAGCAAGGGGTCGCAGTGGCCGGCAATGCGAGTATAATAGCAGTAGTAATAGCGACTACACGTTGGAGGTGGAGTGATGCGTGTCTCGTACGTAGTAAAGCCAGGCGTCTGCCATTATGAAGGCAGAATTATGAACGCATATGAAATTGTATATATCCTAGTGACCCAGTTAGAAAAAAAAGAGCAGGGCGGCACAGTCCGTACAAGCGACAGGCTGCGTTGTGGTAGCGTGTGGTATAATTTAATTCCTTCATTTTTCGTATTACAATGTAGACAGTATGGGTGGGACTTTGTGAGAGGAGTGCAGGAGCAATTACTCTGAGCATGCTAAATTTCGGACAATAACTCGACTGCAATTATGGTGATGTGGCAGAAACAGCGGCAGCCAATTTTCTGGAGGTAGATTAATCGTCACAGTTTCGGAACTTACCCCAGATCGGAGGTCCATCAGAGTTTTGTAGTTGACAATGTCCAGGTCCTCCCACGATTTCGGTGTGACTGGTGACTCCGCCGACATTATGGAGCTGGTTCGTGCTCTTAAGGATTGAGTCGGGGATGAAGAGGGCGATACCGCAACGGACTCCGTCATGTCCTCGATGCGGCGCATAGATCGCGGTGAGGGATCTCGTTGAAGATTGTGAAGCACTTCGATCTGTTTGTGCGGAACTTTGGGACTAATATTGTTGCTTCCAGCTGGACTCGTGCTGCGACTACGGGAAAGAGGTGATTGCGGCGGCGGAGTCAATTTCGATTCTTCCGTCTGATGTTTGGGAGAGCTATACGAGCTTGGACTTGCCGTTGACTGATCGGCTTGCACGTTGCTCTGTGGACGGACAGACTGAGAGCTAAATGGGAGAGGCAGGGGTTTGGTATTATCATAAGGTATTTCCACGACCAGTGCCGATGTCTTGCTATCGCCGAGTGCACTTGGAATGCTAACGACAGGTTCACCCTCTATCGGAAAATGCCGAGGAGACCCCGAGGAGTCATCTAGCGTTATTATAGCGGGGCCGTGAATGGGCTGACCTGTTCGTTTGGAATTGTTTGAGGAAATAGCCGCGTCGCTGTCGGGAGTACGCATTTTCACTATCTCTCCACCAAAGGTCACTCGCTTTAGCCCACGAGAGGGCGTGCTGGGCTCGGACTTGGTTTCAGATCCGGCAGTAGGATGCTCGTCCAATTCAGAATCGCTGATAACTTGGACTATTCCTGCCCCTTCTCTCAGATCCTGATGGGACCTCGCACTACCCATCAGTGCTCGGCAAACAAGCTCTGTTGGTTCAATATCTTTGGAGTATACTCGAGCTGGACTGTCGTACTCTTCTGTCTCGGTATCCGCCTCCAGCAAGCGCATGGTCACAGTGTCGTCATTGATTTTGATTTCCGTCTCCATAATGACCTTTCCTTTATCAGAACAGCTTGGTTGCTGCAGCTGTAGCGAAGAGTCCAACGGATGGATAGAGGTGCTACTGCTCCTCCAGCTCTGTTCCCTCGGCAGAGCTCGCCACGCTCCCGTTTTGACTTCTCCTGCGCGATTTGGCTTTTCACAAACTCCATATACCTGACACAGCTGATAATACTTGGACAGGGCGGTGTGGCCGCACACCGCGTTCATAATAGCTTCAAATTCATGGACTCCTAAAATCTCTCTCATTTTGGACAAAACCTTCAGCGTAATCTCCTGCTGAGCCAGTTGGTCCAAGTGCTCCACCACACGCTGCAAAGCTTGCTGCACTATGAAGTGCCGTTGGGGGGTGTGCAAAATCGATTGAAGTATTGCGGGGAGTGAAAGCAGGACTCCGCAGCTAAGTCGGCCGTGGTCAGACTCCATGGGAGTTAAGCCAGTGTCGAGAATCTTTAGTACGACCGATTCTGGAATAGCTGTTTCAGCAAGATAGACTCGTAGGCAGTCGAGGGCCCCCTTACGAACGGTGGGCGCCTGGTGACCCAAGTTCTCGACTAGCAGGCCGATCAGCTGGTGTTCCTCTATGTGATTGTCGGCCCTGTCTTGCATCACCACAAGGACGTCGACGAGAACTCGCAGAGCGTGTTGGCGCACCTGCCACTCTGGATCCTGTAAGCGTTCGTGGAACTCTGCATACATGGCGTTGGGGCAAATTGTTTCCGGCAGGCGGCGAGTGCGAAGAATATGCTCCCACAGTGGTGTCAGTTGCACTGCACCTATCGGAGCCTCTGTTCGTCGTTGCATTTTCGTTAGTGGGAGGAGCCCAGCCCCCACGCTGGCTGACTGGTTGTTATTCTTGTCCTTGACTTCGCTTCCCGTTGTACCACTCACGTATGTGACACTCTCGCTGGCCTCGCAGTTGTAGTCATTCATCGGAGTGCGAGTCCTATTGGCCGCTGACGTTGCCGTGGTCGCTATAGGGAGCGGCACACTGTTAGTGCCATCTTTGCGTTCCAAAATACGTCGAAAGAACATACTGAGCCTCCCGTTTCGGACTCACTTTTCGCAATGCAATTATCTGACTAGCTGCCGTCGGCCTATTCACTTGCTTTTAATTTTGAATTGTCACGCACGCTTGCATCCGGTCCGAAATGTCCTATGACTGGTTGTGCTACCTTCTTTTCATTTTCTGTTCGTATCTATCTTTGAGGCACAACAGGAACTTTCAACTCGCTAGCAACGACTGAGAATATTACTGTTTGCTGACTGCTTTTGTAGCCAACGCTAGAACTTGGACATTGTGAGCCTAGCTAAACATCATTGAGAACGATCCACTGCGCATGACGGCGCTGCTCTCCGCCTCGAGCTACCGCTCTGCTGCAACTTCCTAAGCAACAGATAGTTTGCTACCACCATTTTACATTTAAATACGTCCAAAAAATGTTGTCAACAGAATATTATCACGATCTTGGTGAATTTCTTCTGTTTTTCGACAGCTCGCAACCCTATAGTATAACGGTCGCAAAGGGTTAATTTAATATACATTAGTTAATATATATTTTCAACATTAATTTAACATACATATGTAGTAAGTAAATCGTACAAGATGGCTCGAAAAAAGTTGGTCAAGTTTTCTCCAATACTGGAAGACCCAAAACAAAGCTCACGAAAAAAACCAAAATATGAACAAAATCTTTTTTTTATGTTAGACATTTTACACTATGCAAATTTAACATTCGCCCCCCTCTTTAAACCCTGTTAATAGTTATGTTAACAGTAGCACAATATCAAGAGCTTAATCTTCCAAAGCAATCCCCTAAAGAAACCGATTTGGCGCATAGTCTTCCAGCTGAGGAGCTCCGCACCTATACAAGATTCTACAATGGCGAGGGTCTCTATAAAAACTGAGGGCGTGCTGCAGCGATGTCCTAAGCAGGTTGTGGACCAAGCTGCCTATGTTGCGTCGACTGATGCACATCAACGGAGTCGCTGGAGCTGTTTCAGGTGTCTCCGAATATCTTGCACATGTAGAATTAAGTAAGTTTTTTACATTTGATTAGTGGATATATTCAAAATGTGCATTTTATTCCCAGAGCTACTTTTTGGGGCGGAGGAAAGCCACGCCACGGCGATAACTATCGAATCAGACACCACCACACCCACACCATCTAGTAAGGTGTTTGCCTGCTTGTACTCAACGCTCAATGAGCGCTGGGCTGTAGCTTCGAGACGCGTGAGTGAATCAGTATATAATTGTGGATATATTTTTAAATACATATTCCTTCACAGCGGACTCTTATATCCTACGTTTTGCCACAAGCCGAGTCGTATCCGATTTCCCCCCGCCAGACGGAGTCCTATCCAAACATTACCGAGGCGTATTCGAGACAGACCGAGTCCCATCCCAGCCAGACTGAATTGTGTTCCAGCAGGACAGAAGCGCACCCCTTACCTGATTTGAACCCGGCCATTTGACGCGAGTTTTTTTGTACGGTGGCGCCCCTATCGGTGATTTCTTTAACTACATTTTCAAAAATAACAAATTACAGACTAGTTTTGTTTTCTCCGTTATTTTAGGCCCGTGCGACGGCTTCCTGTGATCGGAAAAATATCCCTGATTTGCTGGAGTCCTTATCAAGGACCAAGGAACAAGGAAATGTACTCCAGACGTATAAATATTGTTCTTGCCGTTATTTTAGGCTCGATCGGGACCTGCCAGGAACCCACGTGCTCAGATAAATATCCTTGATCCTTCGGTAAGGACATCAACCGCCCCAACCATACATATTTATTTTTCCCGGCTTTTTGTGGCCCGATCGGGACATGCGTCATCTTACTGTGTTTGGAACAGCACCCTTGATCTAATGCAGTCCGTATCAAGGACCAAGGATCAAGGATATTGTCCCCAGACCTATATATCTTGTTTTCTCCTTTATTTGTGGCCTGATCGGGGAGTGCCACGGCTTCCCGTGATCAGATATATGTCCTTGATTCTTTGATAAGGACCTCAGCCATACATATTTAGATCTCGGCTATTTTCTCGGCTATTTGTGGACCGATCTGGGCGTGCGATGGCTTCCTGTGATCGGAAAAGTGTTCGTGATTTGATAGTCCTTATCAAGGATCAAGAACATATTCCCCAATTAAAAATATTTAGTTTTCTCCGCTATTTGTGAACCGATTTCGGCGTGCCACGCCTTTTTGTAATCGGGATAGTTTCCCGGATTAAGGATACAGCAAGGATAATTTTTCAATAGTTTTATTCATCAAAACTTAGCTTAGTATAAATAAATAAACAAGTGGAAAACATTTTTAGTTACTATCTAAATGAATGGATGCGTGTATCTAGCATCTAGTAGACCGCGTAGCCCCTCCCTTGGTTGCCATAGTCAAAGTCCTTGTTGTCGATGGCCAGGTTGAAGGATGACGATGGCTTGTTACGTGTGAATCTTGCAATGGGTGCGCTTCTGTCCTACTGAGATACGATTCTGTCTGGCTGGAAAAAGACTCGGTCTGACTCGAAAACGCCTCGCTCATGCTTGGATAGGAACGTCTGGCTGGGGCAAATCAGATACGACATGGTTTGTGGCAAAGCGTAGGGTACATATGTAAGTCCTCTGTGAAGGAAGATAGAATTAAAAATATATGCAAAATTATATACGGATTCGCTTACGCGTCGTGAAACTGAAGTCCAGCGTTTGATTCGGCGGCTTATGAATGGGGGGTTGCTGACATTATTTCCCGTTGGCGTAAACCAACAACTCCGCCGTCGATCACTGGTCACTGCTGCAGCGGACCGGGCGCCACATTGTCAGGCCAGCTACACAGCAGCATCATCACGACAGGCCAGCCAGTGGCTGTCACAGAGGACGAGCAGTTACGGCGGAATCACCCGTGGAGGAGGTACCGACAGTGAGCGAACTGGAAAGACGAAGAAAACAGCGTGGGAGGCAAGGAAGAGGGCCATGGCAGTGGCCGGACCAAATTATCGGAAAAAAGGCCACAGGCTCGCGCGACAAGAAGCATGTCCCGAATCATGCCCCTGGTAAACAAGCGAATCAGTGACAGCGGGCACGGAAGAGGTACTCCTAGCCACCCGAGGGTGCGACCTGCTAAAAAGAAAGGTAGAGTTTAATAAAGTAACACTATCTTAATGATATGCAAATCTTCGGAAGGCTATATCTCAGATAAATAGGGCCAGATCGGTGAAGGACCAACTCTCCCAGGATAGTGAGGGTCCAGACTGTCGAGCGGCATCAAAATCTCGCCTATGAAAATGCGGCCGATTTTTGGCAAATTCAATGATGTAACCATCATGATTTTTTGTGAAAATCGTGAAAAAATGGATGTCCCTGTTTCCGATGACAGTCGATTGACAGGACCCTCCCGGTCAGGAAAAGACATGCCGCACTCCGATCGGCTGCCGTATAGCAGAGATATAGCATGCAGAAAAAACCAGTATTCTAATGAAATCTAAAATCCAAATGTTCCAAATTCTATATCTCGGCTATTTATGGGCCGATCGGTGAAGGACCAACTCTCCCAGGAGAGTGAGGGTCCAGACTGTCGAACGGCATCAAAATCTCGCCTATGAAAATGCGGCCTATTTTTGCCAAATTTAATGATGTAACCATCATGATTTTTTGCGAAAATCGTGAAAAAATGGATGTCCCTTTTTCCGATGGCAGTCGATTGGGAGGACTCTCCCGATCGCAAGAATACAGACCGAACTTCGGCTGCCATATAGCATATAGCTGCACGCTATAGCAGAAGAACCCAGTACTATAATGAAACGCAAAATCAAAATATTCGAAAGACTGATTCATACATATTTTGATTTCTTCGCTATTTATGATCCGATCTAGGCGTGCGACAGCTTCCTGTGATCGTCCGAATTTTGGTGATTTGGTGAAATCCTTATCATGGGCCAAGGATCAAGGATATTTTCTACAATCATATTTTTCCAGTTTTCTTCGTTATTTGTGGTCCGATCTGGCTGTTCCATAGGTTCGTGTATTTGGATATCCTTGATACTTTGCTAGCTCCAATAGCCCTATCTTGTTTTCTCCCTTATTTGTAGCCGATCTGGGCGTGCATTGGTCCGCCGTGATTATACTGATTTACTTTCACGTCTTGAAGCTGAAGCCCAGCGTTTGATTCGGCAGCTTATGAAAGGGGGTTGCTGACATTATTTCCCAGCTACACAGCAGCGTCATCGGGATAGGCCAGCCAGTGGCTACCACAGAGGACGAGGAGTTAACGACAGCGAGCGAATTTGAAAGACGAAGGAAACAGCGTGGGATGCTAGGAAGAGGGCCATGGCAGTGGCCGGGTCTAAATGTCGGACAAAAAGCCACAGCCTCGCGCGACAAGAATCATGTCCCGAGGGGCGCACGGCATCGTGGCCACGAGCGCAGGAGCCAGCCGGGGCTAACAATCAGTCAGTCGGTCAGGCGCCTGGAGTGGACAGCCGTCATCATAAGAACCGGAAGACCAGAAGACCGTGGTAACCGGTATATTGGTATCCACGAGCAACAAGGAGGTATGCCTGGGTACGGGAGGGGCCGAAATGTTATAATTAAATGAAGAGTTAAATAAAGTAAATGAATAAATAATAACTTAAGGTAAGGGGAGGTGATCGTGGCATAGAAGTTTGTTGCCCGAGACGTTATTGGCCAATAGAGCTGGAGGGAATACAAAAATAAAAGAATAGGAACCAAGAAAAAATAGTTAATGGCAAATGGCAATGAATATGGGGGAAACAAGGAAAACTTACGCGGTCAAAGCCGATGAGGCAAAGCATGGTGCAGCAAATAATAACTAATGTTATTGTACCAATGCAAGCGATCGTTGATGCAGTATCGATCTGGCAAGCTGGAGTACCTCGCCGGTGAGATTATCGAGAACTATTAGAACGATTTTATTGAGCAACAAAACCATCCGAAATGGAAACTTGTGGTTTTATCTATGTGAGCAGAAGCTATAAAAAGTTTGTGACGAGACACAGCCGTTGAGGTGGATACATTTTTTAACATTTTACTACGTATTTATTTCAAATACCAATTTTACATGTACATACATGCATGATAAAATGTAAGTAAGTATACATATCTAAAGGAATGCGAAGTATCTCTGAAAGTCATTGTCTATGGCTACGACTAAGGTGGTAAGGGAAGTTTAGGTGAATTGTGTCAATAAGTTAGAAAAATGTATTTAATGTACTTAAATGGCGATAAATATCAATAAAATGAGTAGCTGGAACTAATTTAATATAGCACACAGAAAACATATACACAAGTACGGAAGGTAATTATCAATAACATTATCCAATTAATAGTTTTGGGCTTCCTTAAAAAATTCGCTGACACTGATACTCGGTTATATATTGTAGGTTTGTGTGTTTATATGTTGATCAGTCGATAAATTGTTTTTTTAAAACCCTAACTGAAGTTTACTAAGGAAGTTTGGCCTTGATACAAGGCGTTCAAAAAGCAACTAGTGTCTAAATTATTACAAGGCATAAGATCTACGGATCTACAGATCGCGTAAATCTATTCTAATTAAAAAATATTTTCGATACGCTTTCGTTGTACATTGCGAAATGAAATGGCAATACTTAATACCTACTAGAGGGAGGGGGTTGGCAATTTTACACACAATTTACACATAAATATATAAGAATATTTTTCTGCATCTGTTGCTTGTACTGTTCCACCAGTCTACACGTATTCCTCTGGTGCGGCCTGGCCATTCGAGGGCAGTCGAAGAGTTGACACGGCCTGTGGCTGTTGCTGTTGTTGCTGCTGTGGCGTGTCCGTCGTATCAGGCAGCTCTGCAATATCTTTAAACACGCCCATCAGATTCTCATAGCTTGGCCCCCAGTTGAGCAAGTACTCCCATCCCAAAGTAGTGGCGGATGGGGAGGCGGCGCCGTTCGCTTTGCGATAAATGCCGCTCAAGTGGTTGGCAATGTCATCGTCACTGGCCACCAGAGTGCTGAGCGAGCCGCGGAACGAGGATTCGAAGCCATCGTATGGGTGCGGGGGTATGGGAGGGGTTTTGACGACACTTTGATTGCGGCTGGGCTCACCGCTGAGCGCTCGAGCGACAGGACTCCGGCCATCCAAAAGGCTCTTGCTGGTCGAGTATTTTCCATCACCACTCAAGCTATTGTTATCGTACTCGATCTCGGAACAGGTGAAACTGTCGTTGCCGCTCTCATCCGTCGAAGTTGAGCTGTGGGCATCCACGTCAGTGTTGTGCATCCCGCCTCCCAATGACATGTGGAGGGCGCTGCTGGGCACTCGCGGCGCCTCGCTACTTGACGACACAGCATCGAGTGTTGAGACGAGGCTGCAGGTTCTCGGACGGGCATTAAGGCGTTCGATCTCTTCGGCAGTCAGACCCATAGAGGTTTGTGGCGGCGCCTGCTGTGGAACGCCAGGCTTCTGACGGCTGGCACTGGAGCTCTGCCCAGAGAGCTGCGACATGACCGGGCTGTTCAGACTGCGTTCACTGTTGCTGTGCAGGGCATCCTTGCCGACCCCGCCAGAGCTGGAGGTGGTGGCCAAGAGCGCGCTCTGCAAGGGTTTGCCCGAAATATC